GGAATCTGATTTATCCCTAGGCTCAGATCATCGCTTGATGTTTCTGTCCTTTGGGTATATCCCCTCCAACCCCCGTGACGATGACTCTTCCTCCTCTTCTGTCTTGGCCCCTCGTCGACTGTGGAATCTCTCCCGGCTGAACGAAGTGGATCCCTTGCTTCTGTACCGATCTCGGTTCCATTCTTTGGTGGCTCCCCTGGCGGCTACCCTCTCTGAATTGGTCTCTTCTCCCTCTGGTGCTCGTCCGCCGATAGACTCGCTCAATGACTCGCTCAACGAGTGTTTCTATCGTGCATTAGATGACTCCATTGGTCCAAAGGCTTCCCGCCCAGGTTACTGGAAGAAGTACTGGACCCCTCATCTCGAAGCTGCTGCTCGTGAGCGGGATAGGCGATACCGTATGTGGCGTCACTCCCTAGGTGTGGACAAAGCTTACTGGTGGACCCTATACCAAGATGCTCATCGTTCCTTTCGTCATGCTGTTGCTGCTGCTAAACGTCTCTCTTGGAAGAACTTTTGTGCTTCTCTTGAAAAGGATTTCTCGAAGGCTACTGCCACTTTGGCTCGGCTCAAGCGTCGCAAGCAGGCTTCCTCCTCTTATACCCACCCAGATGGTCCACAGTCAGCGGTTGATACCATGGCTGCCCATTTGGCAACGGTATATGATGGCTCGCTCCTCTCCTCAGCGGATCGTCCGGCTCCCCCTCCTGATTTCTCAGGTAGGGTCCCGTTCGTTTCTGGCTTCCCCTCTTCTTCTCTGGTCCCTGATTCTGATCTTGGTCTCTTCTCTGTGCCTTCCATTCTCAAGCACATCCAGCAATTGCCCAACCGCAAGGCACCGGGTCGCGATCACCTAAAGGCAGAAATGCTGAAGGCCGTGGCCACGGACCTTGCACCGGTGCTGTCTTCTCTGTTCCAGATCTGTTATCAGTGGTGCTACACTCCTACCTTGTGGCGTCAAGCCCAGGTGTTCCCTATCCATAAGAAAGGTGATCCTCTAGATCCATCCAATTATAGGCCTATCTCTCTGACTTCGGTGATGCGTAAACTCCTTGAGTTCTGTCTGGCTCCCGCTCTCTTGTCCTCTTCTCCGCCTCTGGATGTCGCACAGGGTGGTTTCCGTCCACAACGTAGCCCTCTGGATCAGGCCCTCTGCTTGCATGACCTTATGCATGACTACTTCCTCTCTCACCACCATTACCCTGTTGTGGCCTTTCTGGATATCAAGGCAGCCTATGATACTGTCGACAGACGTGTCATATGGCAAGCTCTTACTGACTCTGCTCTCTCCCGCCCGATCCTTGGTTTGCTGATTCACTTGTTTGATGACGTCCAGGTCTCGGTGCTTATCGCCAACCATTCCTCCTCTTTCTTTTGGCCAGCTACTGGTGTCCTCCAAGGTTCCGTGCTGAGTCCCCACCTGTACTCTTTGTACATCAACTCTCTTCCCTCTCTCTTGCGTTCAGTTGCCTCTGCCAGTACTACTTCGGTGTGTCCTCCTGGTATGTCCCGTCCACTTCCACTCAACTGCCTTCTTTTTGCTGATGATGTTGCTATCTTTGGCTCATCTCATGAAGTGCAGCAGATGTTGGATCTGGCTGCCTCTCACTCTCGTTCTCTTGGCTACCGTTGGAATCCTTCCAAGTGTGCTGTCCTGAACGCCCCGTCTCCTTCCTCCTCCACTACGTCCAACTTTCGGTTGCGTCTTTATGGCGAGCCCCTTCCGACTGTGGACGAGTTTGTGTATCTTGGTGTACCCTTCCGCAGTAAAGGTCTCTACGGTCCTGGCATCCTGGCTTTGCGTTCCTCTGGTGCTGTCAAAACCATGGCTCTGCTAAACTCGGTCGGTGTCAACCGGAATGGTTTCTCTCTTCTCCTCTCCTCGCGGCTGTATACTTGCTTCATTAGGCCCAAACTTGAGTATGGCCTGGCCATCTCTCGTTTGACATCCTCGGATGTAAAAGCCTTGGACAAGTTGCAGAATAGGTTGGTTGGTATGTTCCTGGGTAGCTCTTGGGTTAATGTTGCTAAGCACATTACCTGTATCCATCCGTTTCTCCATCGGTATAAGGTCCTGATGACTCGCTACGTTCTCCGGTCTCGGTCTCTGGCAGGTGATTGCTTGGTGATTCTCTTACGAGATAGCCTGCGTTATCCTCGCCTGGTGCAGCTTCTCTCTGAGAACTCACTATACCGTTCGCTTCCAGTCCCTCCACCTACATCCTCCTCCGCTCTCAAGGCTCTCTTTGACTCCCATTGGCAAGAGCAGTTTGACCGTCAAATGTCATCTGCTACCTCCTCTGGTAAGTTCGTTCTCCTCCGCGCTTGTCGTCCTTCTGTATCACGGCCGGATCCTATCCTCTACCTTCCCATGTCTCGTACTGCCCGTAGTCGACTGGTTCGCTGGCGGCTTGGTCGCTTTACGAACATGGATGAAGAGTGTCCTTGCGTCTCTGGTGCTCGCCTCTCTCGTGATCACTTCCTGGTGTGCCGCGCTATCGATCCTTCTCTGATCGAGCAGCTGCCCCCTTCCCCTCCTTCGGTCAACCGGATCGATCATGCTCTTAACTCTCTCCCTCTCTCTGCCTCTGATGGCCCTCCTCCTTTCTGGTCGGCCTTACTTTCTCTTTTGTACGTGGTTGACACTCTGTGTCATCCGCTTGCTCATATCGCTCCTGATCCCGATCCTGGTGATTCATGGTTTTCTGTTTCTGCCTCTCCTCCTTGATGAAATGTATCTTTTTGTCTTCTAATTGCGTCTCCACGGTGGGGAGCAATGGCATTATAGGGACACCGCTCTGATATGAAATATATAAAAATTCTAAGCTCAACGATACTAGTCTCGCGTCACAGAGCCAATCTATGTTGGAGAAACAGTCGTTCAAAAATTGACCAAAATATGGTATACGTAGTTTGAGTTTCCAAGTTTCTTATGACGAACATCTTTAGTGTAGTGGTTAAGAACACTGCCAGCGTAGCTGGCGACCGGTGTTCGAGTTTCGCATAATTCTTTTATTTTTATTATTTTGCGTGAGACGTTTCTAGAGTATCCTTTTGTATTATTGTTTATACTAATGATATATGACCTCCAGCTGATCCAAAGCCTTTAAACGAGTATCTAATGACTTACTGATCATAAAATGTTTCATAATTATCGCAAATTATTGCAGCTAGCAAAGGAATATGATACAGTATAAAGATAAGCCATTATAAAATAAAAAATAATTTTGCAATTGTTTGAGCTCTACTCTAAATACTGTAATAACAAAAAAACATTGATGTTTGGTCGAGTTATATAAGTATCGTTGTTTTCCTTATTCAACTCTATTTGATTTGATTATATTTGTTATTTCTATAAATCTCTTCTTAAATCTTTTAGGGGGATTATTTAAACACTGTTTTTTTTTTTTTTTTGGCTCAACTTTCATTTTGTTTGATAATATGTTCTCGTTTTGTTGTTTTTCTTTGTTGTATTTGTGATACTAACATCGACTTTCTATCAACGACATCATATAATACATTTTGAATCTAATTACAATATAAACAAGAGCCGAGATGGTAACAAATTTAAAGGATTTTCTCTAAGTTTCTTGTGTACTTGTGTTCTGATCTGTCGCATTTCTTATACCAGAGTAAACGAATATTTGTTTATAAATACAGATTTATCACTAGTTTATCGTTTACGTTTATGTAAGCTAATATGAATACACTTTGAATTCACATTTCAATGAAGTTCAATTTTATTTTGTGTCTGGTTACTTGAACAGCTGCTATTACTATCCTATTGTCAGGTAAGACAATAATGATTTATAAAGATTCTTGTTTATCAGACGTTATTACTACTGCTTCAACTCTTTCTTCAATTTCAAACTTCTTCTGAATAATCAATATCCGTTTTTTTCTTTTTCTTTTTTCTTTTCGAAGGAACCCTTAAAGCTATCAAAGAGCGCTATTGATAACAATTGTCCGCGCATTGAGCTAATGGCAAAGTGGGGATACACTTATAAAAATAAAAAGCTTATTGATGTTAGACAAAAGATGATTTCTTGCACATAACAGAGTTAGATCATTTTTATACGATGCATGGTTTTTAAATTCCATCACCGCTTAAAAATTTGTAAATTGCTGTGATCATTTTTCGTCTAACAACGCTTAACATTTAAAAAAAAAATCCCCTGGCAGGATTCGAACCTGCGTCAAAAGTAACGTAAGTAGCAAAAATACCACTACACTAAAAGCAAGCACCAAAACAGCAAAATATTATTTAGTTACTTATGTACTTGTATCATTTTTTGTGACTTTGAACAACGATTTCTCCAACATAGGTTGGTCCTATGACGCGAGACTAGTATGGTTGAGCTTAGAATTTTTATATCTTTCATATCAGAGCGGTGTCCCTATAATGCCATTTGGCCTTTTGTTCCGATCCGATAACTCTACTACCGCCATCTCGACCCCTGATTACTCGTTTTTTTTGTAATTTTTGCACTTTGACGCGTAATATCTCGACAACCAGTCATCCGATCGCGTCCATCGTTTTTAATTGTTTCAGCCCTTTTTTCAGACAACAACATATCCTAATTTCAGCCGATTCGAAATCGTCAACTTTCCCATCGCCATCATCGCCATTTCGACATTTCGCCATTTCCAATGAGCCAAGATCTCGAAATGACTAATTTCCAAAATCAGCTCGCCCTGCTAGCTAACAGGGTCGCCGAACATGACAAGACTCTCCTTCGCTTTGCCGCTCTTGAAGAACGGCTAGCTGCCGTCACTGCTGAAAACAAGACTCTTCAGCACGAGAACGCTGATCTCCGTGCCCGCCTGGCTGAAGCCCTTGCCGCCGCTGCCCAGCCAACCGTTCTCGCCCACCCCGCCGCCACTACCGCCGCTGCCGCCCCCACCGCCACTACCGCCTCTAGGCCTGCCCCGCCCGCCAAGCCCCTTCCGCCGCTGAGCCCACTGCCACCGCTGCCCCCACCGTTGCCTCAACTGAAGTTTGGAGCACGGTTGCCAAGAGGGGTAAAGCCAAGAAACCCGTCACTGCCAAGCGCCGTGAAGCCATTGTCCGCGGCTTCAACCTTGATACCGGCGAACAAGGTTATGAATATGTGTATATTCATCGTTCCCGTCGCTATACCAGAATGGAGGTCCGCCGAAACTTGCGCGTTCTTGGAATTGATGCCGCTCGCATTCTTGATGTTGCTTTCCCTGCCCGTGGTATCATTGGCCTCCTGATCCACGTCCAATTCAAGGCATCGTTCCTAGAATCCCTTGAACGAGCAAAGGTTCAAACTGTGGCCGATTTTGATCCTTTGGATCCTGCACACTTGGGTGATCCTCGCTTTGCTACCGCCAGTGTCGCTGACCGGGAAGTTGCTGCCATGCGCTTCCATTCCCGCCGTTGCCTCCATGCCCTGAATTTTGTGATTGACCATCACAAAGATGCTGCCGTCGCCGTCGCCAAGGTTTTTGCCGAACAGGCTTGGATAACTGAGGAAGACCTTGCCCGCGTTATTGCCGCTACCCGTCCCAAGCTTTTCGAACGCCCAAAGTATTCCCGAAACGCTGTCTTCGGCTCCGGAGACTTTGAATCCGATAACGACGACACCGACTCAAGCATGGAATATTAATGTGTGATCATCGTATCACCATTAATAACACATCTTCTGATGTGTCCTCTATACCTTCCTTTGATACCCCATCCTCTCCTTCTTCGTCTACCACCCATTCTCTCTCCCTCAACATCGGTCTCTGGAACGCCAATGGTCTCCAAGCTTCCTCCGTCGATGACGTCCTCCGTCACTGCCAGGCTACTTCCCTCCTTTTCATTACTGAAACCTGGTTGCTCTCCCCTTCTCGCCTCCCTACCTCCTGGGAACAGTTTCACCTCTATGGCTCTCCGGTTGCTGGCAACTTCCGTGGTTCCATGGGTGTCTCTGCCCTTGTCTCTCCTTCGTGTCCGCTGCCTGTGTTTCAAGTTCCTTCCCCTACCAGGTATGCTCTCTGTCTCCATCTAGGTTCCTCTCTTCGACTCATCTGTCTATACCTTCCACCTTCTCTCTCCTCCGAGGAGATTGTATCCGTTCTCGACTCCCTTCCCCTTTCTCAAGACACCATCATTTGTGGCGATCTGAATGCGCGTCTTGGCGATTTCACTGGTGACTCTGGCTCCAACACTCGTGGCAACTTGTTGCAGCAATGGTGTGAAGAACATTCGTTGTCCATTCTGAATGCTTCTCTCTCCCATGGTGTCCCCACTTTTGTTTCTTTTCGTCGTGGTCAACCAGTGTCTAGTATCGTCGACTACTTTATTACCAACGTTCCTTCTGCCCTCTCCTCACCTTCCATTACGATTCGTTCTGACCTCTCTTTAGGCTCTGATCACAAACTGATGTCTCTCTCTTTCCATCTCTCAGTCCCTGTTGATCATCCTATGCCATCCACTGTTCCTCCTCGTTCCTCCCCTGCTCCTCGTCGTTTATGGCATCTCTCTCGTCTCGAAGAAGCCGACACCCGCGAGTTGTATATCAGCCGTTTCCGCTCGCTGACATCTTCTCTTGATGACCGCCTCGCTCAGCTCCTCTTGGATGGTCCGTCGTCCTCCTCCTCTTCTCCTCCCGACATGAATGGCTTGAATAGCTCTCTTCATGAGGCTATCTATACGGCGTTGGACTCTTCGGTTGGCACCCGACTTCCTCGTCCTTCTCACTGGAAACACTTTTGGACTCCAGCCCTACAAGCAGCAGCCGACCTTCGTGAACGGTTCTACCGTAAGTGGCGACACTCTTCTGGTATGGAAAAGGTTTATTGGTGGAATCAGCATGTTCAAGCCCATGCGAAATTCAAACAAGACCTCCGGTTAGCGAAGCGACTCTCCTGGCGTGCGTTCTGTGATGCTTTGGAAGCCGCCGATATGCCTTCGGCCTTGAAAAAGGTCAAGCGGCTGAAGTCCCGCCGTTCCCGTTCCTCTGCCTTTGTTCATCCCAGCGGTCCTGCTGTAGGTGCCGATGTGATGAGCGCTCACCTGGCGGCCATCTATGCTGGCACTGGCCTTCCCTCTCCTCGTCCTCCTCCTCTTCCTGTGATTAGTTCTTCCCTTCCGTTCGAACTGCCTGCCAATGTTGCTTCTGCCCTCTCGCCTACGTCGGTCGAATCATCGTTAAAACTGCTTCCCCGTCGAAAGGCCCCTGGTCCCGACCATCTACGTGCTGAGATGCTTCTCCCTCTTGCTCGGCCTCTCTCTCTTCTGCTGTCAAAGCTGTTTACTCTCTGCTATCACTGGGCTTCTACTCCTCTTCTTTGGCGTCAAGCTCACGTCGTTCCCATTCACAAAAAGGGTGATGTATATGATCCTGGCAACTTCCGGCCCATCTCATTGACTTCCATTATTCGAAAGCTCTTTGAGATCTGTCTCTCTCCGGTGGTGATCTCTGCTTCTCCTCCCCTTGATGTGGCCCAAGGTGGATTCCGGCCCCAACGAAGTGCTCTGGATCAAGCTCTCTGCCTGCACGACTTGATGAAGGAATATCATCGTGTGCATCATCATTTTCCCGTCGTAGCCTTCCTGGATATCAAGGCTGCCTATGATACTGTCGACCGCCGTGTGGTGTGGAACTCCCTGTTGGCTGGTTCGGCTCCTCTGTCTCTTGTCTCTCTTCTGGCCAACATGTTTGACGATGTTCAAGTCTCCGTGTTGTTGTCGAACAACGTGTCCCGATCCTTTGTTCCTAGTACAGGTGTCCTCCAAGGTTCTGTTCTCAGTCCCCACCTGTACTCAGTGTATATAAACTCTTTGGCTCCTCTGCTTCGGACTGCTGCTTCTTCTCGAACAACAAGAGTGATGTCTACCTCCCTCTCCACGGCACCCTCCCCTCTCTGGTATCCTGTGGCAACTCCTACGGCCCCTTCACCAACGCCTATCAACTCTTTGCTGTATGCGGATGATGTGGCGATCATCGGTACAGCTCGTGAAGTTCAAGCAATGCTCTCTCTGGCTGAGTCCCACTCCTCTGCCTTAGGCTACAAATGGTCTCCTCCGAAGTGTGCGGTTCTCAACCCACCTTCTGCTACTTCCTCTACCTCGGTGACTCTGTCGCTTTATGGTGTGCCTCTTCCAGTAGTTGACGAATTCATCTACTTGGGTGTTCCTTTCCGCCGTGCTGGCATCTCTGCTTCCTCCATTGTTAACAAGCGTAAACCCGGTACAATGCTTCAAATGTCACAGCTCAATGCCCTTGGTGCTAACCGTTCCGGCTTTTCCCTTCTGTTCTCTGCTCGGCTTTATGCTACCTTTGTTCGGCCAAAGTTGGAATATGGCCTAGCCATTGCTCAGCTTCGTGGTGTGGACGACACTGCCTTGGAAAAGGTCCAGAACCGCTGTCTCCGCATGATCTTTGGTGGTCATGGCACTTCTTCGACCTCCGTCTTCTGTCACCTGGCTAACCTGCCATCGATGCGTTTCCGTGCGGACACTCTTGTGGCCAAGTTCTGCCTACGTGCCCGGGTTCTGCCCTCAGACTGCCTGCTGTCTCTGCTCTCTTCTTCTCTGCCTTCTCCTGCCTTGACGTCTCTTCGTGGCCGACGCCTTGCGTCCGACATGCCTGCCTCTCTTGGGGAACGTGGTAACCCTATGTCTTCCTGGTTGCGTCGCTACCGACAGCAGCAATTCGATGATTATCTGTCCAAAACAGATAAAGTCCTGATTCGTGCCTGCCGCACCTCTCTTGGGGTAGATCCCGTAATGTACTTGCCTGCCTCTCGTGCCGATCGTAGTCGTTTAGTCCGCTGGAGGATGGGCTGGCTCCCTGGAAAACCAAAGCCATGCCCCTGTGCCTTGGATCACACTTCTCGCCGCCACCTCATCGAGTGCCATCTTGTGCCTTCCCACTTGTGGTTGTCTCTCCCCTCTGTGTCATCTGTCTTTCGAGGTAATCGTATTGATTACGCTCTTTGTCAGCTCCCTCTTTCTTCTTCTGTCGCTTGTCCTGAGTTCTGGGTGGATCTCTGCTCAATTCTCTGGCACTTTGATAAGTTGTGTAATCCCGAAGGGGATTACTCTACTGATCCTGACCCTGGTCGACTTTGGTCTGACAAGTCCTCTCCTCCTCCTCTGCCTCCTCCTCAATGATGAACTGTTGATGAATTGCACCCTCTGGCTTCGACCCTCCACTGCCACAACCTTTTAGTGCACGATGCGAGGGAGACCATGGTCATGAAATCTAACTTAGTATTCTATTGCTCGCCCTTCTCTCTTCCCTTCTCTTTTTTTACTTTTTTTGGCATCTTTAAGTTTTTTTTAGTTTCTTCAACTCCCTTTTTTTACGATAATCTTCTTTTTGTCCCCCAGATTAGCAAATAATGATCAATGGATCGCGTGCATAATAATCTCAATAAACAAATAATCTTTCGCCTGAGCTACATCCCCATCTCTTCCCTACTTTCGAACGTTACACAAAATTAATTAAATCGACTTTTTCTTTTGCAAACGTTTGAAGGCTTATATCTCACCAACTAGCAAATTAACCTTACTTTTCAACAGCACCATCGTAATCAGCAACCTCGATTACATATTGTGTACAAGTTTCAGCTCATTCCGTTAACGATTCGTCATTTTTGTTTTTGAGATGTCCATTTCGACATCAACGCACACATCTGGAGCAGATGAGCTCCAAATGACCCCGGAACAACTGCAAATGAACGTCTTCAACATGCAGCAACAACTTCACGCCGTGCTCGCTCGAGTTAACGAACATGACAGCGTCCTACAAGAGCTCATTGCATTGCGAAAAGCAAACGATGAGTTGACATCTCGCAATGAGGCACTTGCAAAAGAGGTGTCAATGCTACGCCAACAACCTGCAGCTCAACAACAACAACAACAAGTACCCCCTCCCTCACTTTTGAGTGCCAATAGCACCCCTGTTTCGTCCACTGACGCTGTTTCTTCTGTTTCTCGCCGCCCAGCCCCTGTTAACCCCCCCCCCTGCAACCCCTGTTTTACCCCTGCAACCCCCTGTGGATTCGCAATGGGCAACTGTGGCGGCCCGTAAAAAGCACCAAAAGGTAACCCGTGCCCCCAAGAAGGTTACTGAAAAACGTTTGGAAGCTGTCTCCCGTGGGTTTAACGCCCGTGAAGGTGAACAAGGATTCACCTATGTGTACCTCAACCGTTCCCGTCGCTTTACCCCTACTGAAGTGCGCCGCAACCTGCGCCTTCTGGGCATAGAGTCATCCCGTGTTCTGGATATTGTGTTCCCCTCCCGTGGTGTCCTTGGTTTGTTGGTCCATGTGCAGTATAAGCAACCTCTTGTGGACTTGTTAGCTAAGGCAAAGGTCAAGCCTTTGGAAGACTTTGACGTCCTCGACCCCGCTATCATCGCCGATCCCGCCCATAAGGATCTGCCTGACTCTGAACGCCTTGCTCTCGCCTTTTCTTTACAGAATGGGCGTTGTCACCGTAGCCTGGAGTATATCAACCACTCCCGAAGCCACTTATTCTTCCCTGTTGCCCGTTACTTTATGGAAGCCGGCTGGATAGACGACAGCGAGCTGTCTGATATCCTCAAGCATGTCGGTGGTCCCCGCCAAGCAGCAGCAGCAGCAGCACTTAGGCACCCTGACGACCCCCAAT